AAAATTTAGGGTTTTGATTCCTTATATTGTTGTTTATCAGAAAATGTACTCAATTGGATATAATTTATTCACTTAGAGGTGGATTTTTTAGTTAAAATGACTTATGTAAGATGGCTCTGTGAAGAACATAATTTTTTTTTTTGTAATCCATGATCGAATTATTTGTAATACATGATCGAATTTTTTGTAATCCATGATCGAATTGATTTTTTTTTTTTTGTAATCCATGATCGAATTTTTTGTTTTTTTTGTAACCCATGATAGAATTTTTTGTAATCCATGATCAAATTTTTTGTAATCCATGATCGAAATGTTTGTTTTTTTTTTTGTAATCCATGATCGAATTTTTGTTTTTTGTTTGTTTTGTAACCCATGATAGAGTTTTTTGTAATCCATGATCGAATTTTTTGTAATCCATGATTGAATTGTTTTTTTCTTTTTTTGTAATCCATGATCAAATTTTTTGTTTTTTTTGTTTTTGTAATACATGATCGAATTTTATGTAATCCATGATCGAATTTTTTGTAATCCATGATCGAATTTTTGTAATCCATGATCGAATTTTTTGTAATCCATGATTGAATTTTTTGAAAATTTGTGATTTTTTTTTTTAATCCATGATCAAATTTTTTTTTGTAATCCATGATCGAATTTTTGAAAATTTGTGATTTTTTTTTTTAAATCCATGATTGAATTTTTTGAAAATTTGTGATTTTTTTTTTTAATCCATGATCGAATTTTTTGAAAATTTGTGATTTTTTTTTTTTTAATCCATGTTCGAATTTTTTTTTGTAATCAATGATCGAATTTTTTGAAAATTTGTTAGTTTTTCTTTATAATCCATGATCGAATTTTTTGAAAATTTGCTGTTCTTTTTTTATTTTTCGAAAAGATGTGAAAATCGTGATAAGGTTTTGATTATCATGATGTATTAAACGCAATTTTTATTGTTTGTGTTTGCTGTACTTCAACCCAAAATTTTTTTATTTGACACCTGAACATCCCCATAAGATTATGGAAGGGGTCAGATACATTATTGCAATGTTGGAGAGAAGCCATCGAACCAAGTAGCAGCAATACAAGAGGTATTATTTAATGTTTGGGTAAGAACTTCATTGAGTTATTATATTTGTGAGGAATAATGCACTAAAACGTAATATATTTGTTTTAGCTTGCTATGTATAGGGATGCTATAGAATCCTTAGGAACTAGACTTGCCAAGAATTCTCGAACTATGATGGATCCAAGTTATCCCCTCGCTAATATTTTGTTCATTCATATATTTAATCTTATGAATTGTTCTTGCCCTTACAATGCTTTTTGCATTTTAATCCAGCTGAATGGTGGGAGATATATGGTACTGATGCACCTCACCTAAAAAGGATAGCAATCAAGGTGCTCTCCCAGACATGTTCTGCTACTGGCTGTGAGCGCAACTGGAGTACGTTCCAATGGTTGCACACTACTAGGAGGAATCGACTCGCTTCGGATAAGCTTCATAAATTAGTCTACGTTCATTACAACTTAAACCCCCGAAAGCGATAAATAAGAAAGAAGCTTGAAGACTATGGGCCGATAGACTTAGACACAATATTTGTCACAGACACAGCATACCAATGGGTAGTAGAAGAGGAGGAGCCAGTGTTGCACAAAAGAGCGTTCCTGAAGGCTATCGGTGAGGAAGATCTTGAAGAAGGTGATGAGCAGCATGAAAGAGGAAGCAGCCAGCCAACGTATCTACAATTCGTCGGAGATGACGGTGATATTGCTCCTAATGAGGGAGAGTGGGAAGGGGGTCTAAGAGAAAATGAGAGAGACGTTGATTCTGAGGCCACCCTATTCCAGCCATATTATTCACATATCGAGTCCCAACAGCAACAGTGTAGGGATGAGCACGACAGTGTAGGTGAGCATAAATGATGGACAAGCTTTGGGGATTTTGGATTGGGAACACAACAAAACACTAACACTCAAGGATTTTGGTATAGTCAGACGCCTGCTAATATCGATGACTCGTTTTTAGATCGAATCAATGAATTGTCAAAGGAATTCAATCAATGGCACCAGTATAACCAAGAAGAAGAATAACGTCGTCTGTCATTTTATTTTTAGATCGTATGTTACTAATTGTATGCTTTATTGTAGTTCATGTATGTTGATATAATTATTCCATGATAATTCTATGTTTATCCTTTTGTGTGAGGTAAATTAAATGCTGAATAGTAGTTCATGCAGGGAAAGAACATATCAATATTCGCATAATCATGCAAAAACATGAAAATTCTTAATGGAGTACCCTCATTTCTTATTGAATTCCCAAAAAACAATATTTATAATGAATTTTAATAATTTTTTCAGATTTTTTTGAAGCTTTACTCTGACCGATTCACTCGATTCTCGATCCGGATTGCTGATTCACCGATCCGGATCGCCGATTCGCCGATCCGAATCGATTTTTGAAGTGCCCGATCCGGGTTATCGATCTGCTTTTTAAACCATTGTAATAGTTACTATACTTAATTTCATCAATATATTTCTCGATGCATTCCAGAAAATGTCACCAAATTTTCCCCAAAAGATTCCAGGTAGTATTGAAAGTAAATGAAATCCTTAACTTAAAGAACAAATAAAAATAAAAAATGGCTTCTAGCCCCCAAAATAATTAGTAGCAGAAATTGGTAATGAGAGAAATTTAACTTTTCAGCGCGTCATAGTATGAATGAACCATATCTGATCTTAACCTTCATAGAAAAAAAGAAGAAGTGGTATTTTATATGCGAAATACTCTCAGAGCAAAAAAAACACAAGTTCATTAATAAAAGGGAAAATATACTCTAAGAGCCAGAAATGGATAGAGGGAACTTATCTCTAAACCATCCAGAGAGAGAGAGCAGAGAGAAAGAGAGAGAGATAGAGAACTGTAGAGAAAGATACCTCTGCCTTCTTCACTAAACCATGCTCATTGAAAATCTCAGAGAGCTTGGCATTGTCGACATCTCTCGGAATGTTACTAACGTTCAGTCTTTTCAGCGTCTCGGGTGACTCTGTTCAGTGGAAACAGACGCTTCTTCAGCTTGGGCCTAATCTTCACAGCATTTCTAGGGTTTCTGATGCAAATAGATTTGTAACCTCTATTAAAGCTCACAAATGAAACTCTTTCGTTCGAATTACGGGCTTCTAAGCTGAAATTGGAGAACATTGAACCAGAGGCCGTACAAATCGCTCTATTTCCGCTTAAAAAACAGCAAGTGCCCGCCATTTCCCTGATTCAGAGAGAAATTCGCATGAAAAAATAAAACGATGAGTGCTTCCTTCATGTGCGGAGAAAAGTGGAGCGAGAGAGAGGAGAGATACAATGAGAAAGGACAAAAGGATGCAGATATTATCCAGGTCCATTGTGCCTACGAGTAATACATTTGGTCAGTATCATAGTATGTTTATTGTGTTATCACCGTTTCTCTACTAGGATGGACGGCAGATTTGTGAGGTACTTTATATATTTGGTGGAGCCACTCTCCAATCATCAGAGTTAAGCTTATCGGTGATGGTCCTTATGGCCATACTGTGCTCCAATCATCACAGTTTGCATGCCCTGAATTTTTTGATGGCATGCTTCTTACAAAATGAAGAACTTAAAGTTTAGTCATAAGGAATTATCAAATAAATATGGGATCGTCTACAAAGTGATCATTTATCTTTTATACATAAGGTCACAATCATTTTTGTTCCTTTAATTTCAAAATAAATGATTCTAAAATTGTTAGTGAATAGACACAAAGTTAAAAAAATTTTAAAAAATATCTTCTTAACTCATCTCAAGCCATCCAATTTAACATCTAATAAGTGTGAATGATTGTGATATCTATGTATAAAAGATAAATGGTTTTTCTTAAACAATGTATATTGTAACAAATTATTGGAATCGTTCATTTCAACTACTTACATATCTATTAATTGTGCACTATATCAAAATCCTTCAAATTTTACAATCAAGGACCTAAATAGATTTTTAGGTCATCATAAAAAGTTTTAGTATTAGAAATTATATAGTTATAATAGAATTTTGAGGTATGACTTTACTTTTTGCCGTAAGACCTAGTTGTTACACCAATGTTTTAAATTTTAATGATTTTCGATTCGAGTCGCCGTTAGAATGCAGAATCTTTAGGACCAAACCAATTTTGGAATTATATGTGTCTTAGGTTCCACCCTAAAACACCTCTTTTTACTTTTTTTTTTAATCTTATCTAACGCTTTTTGTGGTCCCATGAATCCCCATCCTATAAACCTTGGGGAAAGGTTTCTATACTTCCCGTACAACATAGAAGATCTATGCTTCCCTTACTATCTAGCTGTCCAATTTTGATCAAGAGAGCCACTCACCATTTGATATTAGATCCGATGTCTCAAAGTATTTTATTTTTAGTTAGTTTTTTATACAAATTGTATGAATATGAAATTTAGTATCTGTCATATTCTCACTGGGGCACACGTATAAAAAATATTAAAAATAACTTATCGATAAAATATAATGATCAAAATACCTCTTGAATTTTTTAGAGGTATTTTGGTTATTTTATTTTATTGAAAATATTTGTTTAATATTTTTTCGATAGTGTAAGTTTAATAGATGATTGAACATCCAAAATTTGGTGCCAAAATAATTTATAGAAAAACATTAAAAATAAAATAGTGTAGGGACATGACATTGTGATTGACGCAATCTTAGCCCTTCATTTAGAATGGACGGTTGGATAAGAGGAAGTATATAAGTTTTATGTTGTAGGGAAGCATAAAACGTTTGCCCTAAATCTTCATGTTAATGACATTTTGTTTTTTTTTTTTGGTAATCGATCTAAATGATTTGAGAATGATCCAGATTGCCGATCCAAATCGGAATTGGGGGTGGACGACTGCCACTCTGATCCGGTTTTTTAAACATTGTGTCACACTAACCTCGCCTCCTCCAACAAATATGACATCTCGAAAGTGTCTTAACAAATCAAGTACAGAGGCTGTATAGAGAGATCATAAAATCAAGTCATACCTTGAGACTTTGTATATATTTTCTGCATTTGACCACTAGGGTTTGATCTTTAAAAAATCACTGTGTGTTTTGTCTACACTATTTTTACATTCTAGATTTTAGGTTTCCATCTCAACTTTTTCTCTCACTTCTGATTGATCAGCTTCTAATGGAGTCTAATGGTAGTCCAGAGCTGCAGAAGAGCTCCAAAAAGCGAAAGGGAACGAGCTCTCAAAACCCTAAAAGCTCAGTACTGAAACAGAGTGAGCCTATTATTCCTCTATTCTCTGAAAATTATAATCATGTGATTGAATTGGATCATTTGTGCGCTGGTTTTAACTCGATTCTGTACTTTTATTGTTTATTGCAGAATCTCCAGCTGAGTTCTTTGCAGAAAACAAAAACATTGCCGGATTTGACAATGTAAGCTTTATTTTACTCGAAAAGAGATGCCATAAGCTTTCTATGTGCTTTTCTCAGTTGCTTGTTACCTTGATCACGTTGGCCTGATTTTTCTCTCTACCAAGTTAGCAATAATTTTTTTAAGTTTGTGACTTTTGGCTGTTATGTTTTTTTTCCTTCTCAAATTTGGATTACTGATTAGTAGCATTAGATGGAAATTAAAGGGCCGAACTGAACTATTTTATTTGGAGCTACCCAGTAATGCCGTATATTGCTTTTAATTTGGATTGTAATCCTTTATGATGAGTTATGATGATACTTCTCCTCTACCTTATGCAAGCCATGCGTGAATATCAAAGTGCCTCATGGGAGAGTTTTTAAATGAATTAATTTCTCCTATTTTCAAATCAAAGGTTTGGAAACAAGACAAGTGAGGATTTTTTTGGCAATTCTTCTGACTGAGCTATTCTTATTGGTGAACTTGGACTGGAAATTGAATTTTATCTTAATAGTGTAGAGGCTTAGTTCTATTCTGCATTGCAGATTCTGAATATCATTGTGTATATTTTTTTGATAAGTATCCTTTTCATCTCGATAATGCGGTCAATATGTAAAAGCCATGTTTCATGAGAAGTGGAGTTTTCCAAGTTTTTATTTTAAATTGAAACAATATAATTGAGGTTCATCATAATGGGAGATTCATAATTATGAATCAACCAACCCTTCCAACAAATACTATCGGTTCATTCAAGAACTAAATTGTTTATGGCCCACAAGCATGCCCACACATATATGCATATGCGTGTGTGAATGCTTATGTACATCACGCTAGCATATTCTATTTAAAATAGAAGTGTTATCCAAATTAAGGACTTATAACTTTCTTATGGTATGGATTGCAGCCAGGGAAGTCTTTATATACAACAGTTAGAGAACTTGTAGAAAATTCTCTTGACTCAGCAGAGTCCATATCTGAGCTTCCATGGATTGAAATTACAATGTGAGTACACTGAAATTTCTATCTTTATTTGGACATAACATTTGATTTTAGATCCATAATAATTTTGTTGGGATTTTCCTATATTGTCAGAAGAATTTAGTCTTTTTAAATTTTCTCTAATTAATGTGTCATCAAGAAAATTGATTACTATCCTTTCTTGAATTCCCCTTTCCCCTCTCGTAAAATTGTATAGGGTGATTTTATCACAGGAATGGTTTTTACAGCTTATGTTGGGTGCTTTGCTTTGTTTATTATCTGAATATATTTTATGTTTTTTCTTAAAGTTTCCCTTGTCATGTTTGAATCAGTTGAAAAAGTTTATAGCTCATACTTGTACTATTACTTTCTGGATGTACAGTGTTTGGAGCATCAAGGTTAGTCTGTGATAATCTTGGGGGATGAAATGCATTGGCTGTAAATTTAAAGATATAGGTACCTCTGATATTGTTTTGTGGGGGATGAAAGGCATTGCTATAAATTTAAAGATATAGGTACCTCTTCACGGCCATGATCCACAAGAATTTTGCCAACGGGGATCATCTTTTCTATACAAAAACATTGGTGGATGCAATTTAGTTTTATCTTCTATTTGTTGATTTTTTGTTGATTTTCTTCCACAAACAAGAAAGGGTTCTTCATGTATATGACATCCTGGTATATTTTCCCCCTTTTGTGGCCAATTTGAGAGCTAATGCATGAGGGTACCTATAAAAAGAAACACTGATGCACAAGGATTTCATTATATTTCATGCTTAGTTTTTTTTGTCAAATATTACATTGTTTCATTTTATTTTACGCTCTACTCTGTTCATATGGCTAACAACTCTCAAATTATGACCTTGTTTGGCTTGATATTTCAGTGAAGAGATCAGTAAAACCAAGTTTAATGCCATGATTGGGCTTATCGACCGTGAACGTGTCGATGAAGAGCTGTATGATGATTTCGAAACTGTTAAGGCCCGAGAGGTACATTTCTGCCTCTTGTCTATATCTTAATGCTGGATGGGATGAGTTGATCATTTTTCTGTCAATATAACTGCCATAATTGAATTTAGTGCCGACTGCTGACTGAGGCACCTGATTGGACTTTTCTCATTTGGACTTGATAATTTATTTAGTTCTATACACTCTAATGTTTTGCATGCATGACCTATTGAAGGTTTGCTTTGTGCTTGTAATATTTATGCTAGAATATAGGATAAATGATTTATGCTAGAATATGGGATGCATGATTTGGTTATATAGTTTTCCTTTGCACTTATCTGATGGAACCGACTCTGGGGTTGTGGTTGAATACAGACGTCAGATACAAACCTACTCTGAATTTGTAGTTTTACTTTTCCATTTAATTAGAGGCCACTCATAAACATGTTTTAAGAGGTCATTTGTGTTTGTATGAGCATAAAACATTTTTTATCTTGGTTGTGGGATCTCTTGCAATGGCTCACATTAGGAAGCTATTCTATACCTAATTATTAATTATTTGGTTGTTTGACTTGTTTCGTCTAGATTCGTGAGAAACAAGGTTGTGTTTCCAATTTCGTCTCAGATATACTCATGACTTGCAATGGTGCAGTGAAAGCAATTTTATGCTAACTTGTGCTGTCTAGGAGGGCTTATAATGTATCTGTTTTATGGCGTTCATGTATAGAATTCAATTAATTTTCCTTATAGCAGTATGCAGTTGCCTTCTTAAAATGACATGACATGCATTTATGAAAAAACAGTGATAGCTTCGTGCTCCCTTTTTATGTTTTTTCTAGAAACGTCTTGCGAAGGAAGCTCGAGATCAGGAGATTCAAGCAAAGAATATTGCTCATGGAAAGAAGATAAAAGAAACTTCAAAGAGCACCAAAAGTCGGGGCGATGCTTCATTTTTCAGGGTGACTTGTAAAGTATGTAATACATATCTTTTTTGCTTTTGAAGCCATGGTGAGGAAAGATTCTTTTGTACTATTTTCTTGAATTTACAATCTACAGATGTGCATGCATAGTTTTATCTGTAAGGTATACGACAATCAAGTATTGGACTGTTTGTTTTGGCTACTTGTTTAGCTAAATTTTAATTTAGATGATCATGCATGGAAAGCAATGCAGTTTCTCAAAATTGTGAAATAAATATGTATGATCTTGAGTGGTCAATTTCCAGTTTTGCTGATCTCCTTCAATATATATCCTTGCCCATGAAAATTGGGGCCATCAACAATTCATTGGTCTGCAATTTTGCTGTTCTTGCCTTTTACGTGCATGCAAAATCATGCATACATGCTTAAGTGCATGTGTGTGTGTGTGTGTATATATATATATATATATATACACATATATATATATATATATATATATATGTATATAACCTAAAAAACTCCTATAGGCAAAATACAACAATGTTTTGCCACTGCCACGGACTTGTTATGTCTGTGGCGGTTTATCGAACAAACCCGCAACAGACAACGCACCCTCCGTTGCGGCTTCACATGAATTTTTGATCGCCATGGACCTTGTACCGTCACGGACATACTAGGTTCATGGCGGTCAAAAAACGCACGCCTCTCGATTTTTTCGGACGGTGATGAGCCTATGGGCAAAAATACTGTTCATTTTTTCCCATAGGCGTTGCGTAGATGCTTCCATATATATATATATACAGGGTTATGTTAGGGTGCTCACACCATAGAGTAATTTATCATTGTACTCAACAAATTTTGGACACCGTTATACCCTTGTTTAGTATATAGAGATTTTTTTTAATAGGGGTGTTTTTGGTCATTAGGAGGGGTGTGACGTCATCTACATGGGGTGTGACATCACCCGCATTGAGCATTAAATGCCACTAGTGTGCTCCCTGTGA